GATACTAAGTGTGGGGGTGCAGAGATTGTTCTGGTATGCTCACAATCCTACTCTTTTTCATTTTATTTTATTAAAAAAAGTGCTTGTTGAGTTGAAAACCCACAAAGGGCAACTCAAGCAAAAATTAAAGCAATAAAACAAAGAGTGAGGTTGTGAGAATTAAAAGAAAAATGTGGGAAGCTGGGATGAAAACCTGAAAGGGCACCTAGGCAAAACGAGAGAATGAGAGAAATGTCTATTTTGCAGGATCCTGAAGGTGATAAGTTTAATAGAGAAATGGAGATAAAGATGAAGTTGAAGACCCCGTTTTACTTTAATTACTGTTGGGGGTGCTTTATATTGTGGTAAAAACACTCTTGGATGTTTTGTGTTGATATTCTTGTCATTTTTAAAAGGACTTCTTGGATTTGATTTGATTTACTCGAGACGAGTAAAGGTTTAAGTGTGGGGGTGTTTGATGCACACTAATTAGTAGTGCATAATTGTATGTTTTTATGTTTCATTGATGGTGATTGTTTGACGTTTTATTTTGTTTGTAAACATTTGTGTGATTTTAGTTGTACTTGTAGTTTAGTTCTCATTTGTAAGTTGTAAAGTAGAATTAGGAATTAGGATGTTGGAAAGGAGGATGTTGAAGTGAAGAAAAAGGAATTTTGACTGTCCAGGAGCAAATACCCGACCGGGTAGGAAACTTTACCCGGTCGGGTCTGATTTGAAAACCGAACCACTGAGGAAAGAGCTGGACCCGGTCGGGCCCCATACCTCACCCGGTCGGGTGAGAAGTGACCGGGGACAACCCGGTGTGCGAAGATCACCAGAAAGTGGTGAAATATCTGATTTTGACCGGACCCGGTCGGGTGAGTACTTGACCCGGTCGGGTACGCGGCCAAAGGTGTTGAAAAACACCTATAAATAGCACTCTTTTTCTTCTCTAAAATTTATCCCTTCTTATATACTCCTAAGCTCAGTTTAGAATAGCATTTCTTATATTTTTATAGCATGTTTAGTCTCCAAATGAGGAGCTAAACTTCCAATTCTTGGTGTTGCTCTTGAAGCTTGTTGATTATTAAAGTTGTGAGTTAATTTCTTAACTTCTTTCCTTGAATATTAATTAATAGTTCTTTCCTTAATTTCATCTCTATATTAATGTTGGGGAGTGTTGCTAAGATTACAATTAGTTAACATCTCGACATTAGTTAGAATGATATTTTCTTCCTCTATATTAATGTTGGGGAGTGTTGCTAAGATGACAATTAGTTAACATCTTGATATTAATTATAGTAGGATTCATCTTCTTTAATAATATTCTTCCTTGAATATTAATTAATTGCTACTCATATTTCATATTAATATTTTGAACATTACTTAAAGGATCAACTAGTTTTGTTTCATATATTATTATTACTAGAAACGATCAACGAACCGATGGTTAATCGTTGATGGTTTCACAAGTAAGTAAATTCGGTTTATTAATGCACGGTCGTGGTTAATAAACTTAAGAGGGATTAATTTTGTTGGTTAAACTGAAACCGTTGTGTTGAGGTTATCAATCTCAATTGATTTCATCAAGGAGTTAGAAAGATTAAATGCTACTATTAAATCGGTATAAGGCGTTGTTCTATATTTGATTAATAGTAAGGGTTATTAATGAACGGTCGTTGTTAATAACTACCCTCGATGAAGTGGATATACTCCCCGATTGAGTATTCGAGAGGGAATAAGTTATAGATATAACAATGATCGACTAAAATATATCAACAAGTGGAAAGTAGCAATGCCAAGTCCTTTTTATCTTTGAATTAAACACATATAGGTTGTTCATCTTAGTTCTTAATTAAATTTAATCACTCAATCCAAATCCCTCCTTTATTTACTAAGTTTCATAAAAAGAGAATTATTCCTTTCCATGTGGATACGAACTCTACTACGCTATACTACGTATAAGTGTTAGTATTGAAAATTATTTTGACGCACCGTGACAAAGTGCTCGTCACCAGGTCCTCACGCATCAACCCCTTGGTGCTTTGATGAGGTGCTCTACGAGCTCCTACCTAATGGTAAAATGGGTTATCTTCCTAAGCCAGTACAACATCGACATCCATCCGAGGCCCGCCATAAAGGGCCAAGCCCTGGCGGACTTCGTAACGGAGTGCACAGCAAGGTCGGCTACAGACGAGGAGCCCTCGGCTCCCTTGGATGATTGGTGGACTCTCTACACTGATGGCTCCTCCGCTGTCAAAGCATGTGAAGGAGGGGTAGTTCTCATTACTTCCAGCATGCCCCGGTAGGCCAACGATCAACTATGCCCCCATCAGCACGTCCATACCCTTTGCTAGATGGGGCATAGACCTTGTGGGCCCTCTGACGAGGGGTACTTCCAACAACAGGTACATCATCGTTTCCATTGACTACTTCACCAAGTGGGTGGAGGCTGAGCCCCTCGCCAGCATCACCGAAGCCAGATGTCGTCATTTTGTTCTCAAAAACATCCTCATAGGGTTTGGCGTCCCCCAGCAAATCATCTCCGACAACGGGACTCAATTTGAGACAGGCCCCTTCTGTGCCCTCCTGGAAGCATGGGGCATTAAGCATACTTTCTCATCCGTTGCCTACCTTTAAGGCAATGGCCAAGTGGAAAATGCCAACCGGACCTTGCTCGAGGGCCTAAAAAAGAAGCTGGAAGCCGAAGGGGGAGGCTGGGTAGAAGAACTTCACAACATCCTATGGGCCTACCGCACCACCCCTCGGCGGGCAACGGGTGAAACACCCTTCTCCCTTTGCTACGGATTCGAAGACAATGCCCCCACTGAAGTAACCCTTCCTACCCGAAGGGTGGCCCAATATGATCCGGAAGTTAACGACGCCAACATGGCTCTCGACCTTCATTTCATCTCAGAACGCCAAGAGCAAGCCTTCATACAGGCGGAGAACTACCGAAGGCAAGTAAAGGGATACATCGATACCAAGGTTTGTTCCCGGGAGTTTCAGGTGGGGGACTACGTTCTCCGAAGAAGGGAAGCTAGCCAACCAACCGAGGGTGGCAAGATGGCCCCAAAATTTGAAGGGCCCTACATCATCACAGCCATCATCAAACCCGGAACGTACAAACTCAAACGCCCTAATGGAAACGAGGTCCCTCGACATTGGAATGTATACCATCTAGTTAAATTTTATCAGTAATGTTAGAGCGGTCAAGCCCTCATAACTAGTGAATGTATTATCCTATGGCCCAAGGCCTCCAATTTTTGAAGAATGAAGACATATTGAAGACACTAGGAACAAAGAACAAAACACTAGAAAGCGGCCAAGCCCTCATACTAGCACCTGGCCCAAGGCCTTATTACAAGAAAGACCCTTCGGCACCAAGTGCTGAGGGTAGACACTCCGATCACCTTCGACAATGAAGAAAACACCAAGTGTTTCCAACGAAGGCCCCTCGGTACCAAATACCGAGGGCGTGCGCAAAACAAACACCAAATGTTATTTTTGAAGCCGTACCCCTCGAGGACACATTTATACCGAAGGCGTCACCTATCAGCCCCGGCGGCACCAAGTGCCCCCAGCCATTTGCAACTAATATGCAAATAAAACCCTTCCGTGAAACGCTTTCCATGCCATTACCCCAAGGGAATGGCAGGCAACTAATATGCCCAAGATTCGACTTTCAAAAACGAAACGCTCCCCGCGCAAATGCCCCAAGGGAATGGCAGGCAACAGACTATGTCTCGTGCCGAGGGGATGACTTTCAAAACTGAGGCGCTTTTCGTGCCATCCCCCAAGGGGAGGCAGGCAACAGACTATGTCTCGTGTCGAGGAAACGACCCTCGATCCCCTCGGTACCCGGAAGGTTAATCCCGAGGGGGAAGCCAATGGTGTATATTGTTGCCTCCCGATAGGCCAAGCCTTACCAAGAAACCAAGTTTCTTGATGCCTTCCCTTCACTGCCTAAAAAAATGGAGTGAAGGGGAGTAGACTCAACGACCAATCAATGAGTACACAACTCCAGTAAACCAAAACGGAACACCCTTCGGTGCCCAACAAGAAGGATCATTACAAGGCAGGAAGATCATACCGAGGGCTCCCCACGGAAACACCTCCGGTACCTGGAAGCTACTAATCCGAGAAGGCTACTATTCAACAAAAGCCGTCAAAAAATGGCTAAGTCCATTGACTGGTTACCTCCGACATCAACCGACATCGAAGGATCCAAACCCACACAAGGGTTAAAAGTCCCAAGTCCAAGCAACAATCGCCCCCGACATTTCAAGGCAACACCGAGGGAATACTCCAAAGCGCTGCCCGAGGGCATTTGTCTCTGTTATACTATGGTTGGACTACAAAATTCCTAAGTTCGCACTTTGGGATCTACCAAATCCGAAGGCTCATATGCTACCCAAGGAGCGAAGGCATCTACTACACATTACCGAAGGCCAGTACTCACAAGTCAATGGAAATTATTCTAAGTCCACAAAATTGGGTGCCCCCGGGATCATCACCCTTTGTCGAGGGAGATCTTACCTACAAATGCTACAATCCAAAAGGTCCCATTTACCGAAGGCCAAGTGACAAACAACACTTAGAATTTTTTTTTCTAAGTCCTAAATGCTTGGCCCTCTGTCAAATTATCATGCAATCCAGGGGGTCTAATAACCGAAGGCCACATGATGCACATCACTCAGAAAGATTTTCTAAAGTCTTAAAAAATTGGGCCCTCGGCCAAACCTTTAGCCAAACATATGATTATGCCCGGAGGGAAAGAAAACAGGGGAAGTGAAAGCATTCATTCATCATGAAAAAAGAAACAAATTTAAACGTCAAGCCCGAAGGCATCCATACATTCAATCACAAAAGATAAAAAGAGGAGTATGTTGTTACACCAGGGCCGAAGCCGACAGCTACTAAATGTTTGTTACAAAAGCAGATAAGAAAAAATTGTTTAAGTACAATTATGGGTTATCTGCAACTCCGACAGTGCCCCCTTCAACAGCTCTGGAAGTGACCTCTCCGCCGACATCATCCTCAGCCCCACCTTCGTCAGAACCCCCCATCATCACGGAATCTTCAATCTGTGATTTCTCTTCGCCAGGGGAAAGGGGAACTCTCACATCTGGGTGCACTGCCGGGTCAAATTGCTCAAGGGGGATGCCGAAGTGCCTGATGAGCCTCCGGTAAATCAGATGTTGGGTGAAAAATTCACCTCCTTGATAATAAGAATCGCACCTCTCGGCTAGCCACATCTTCCCGGGGCCTTCGACCCAGGCATCGACGCTTTTCTCCCCCACCGAGGAAACCCAGTCCTTCCTCCCCTCAGCGGTCCAGCCCTCGGCGACAAAGTTCTCGACCGCAGACTTGTCGGCAGCAGCCACCGCTTCGGCCTTGGCCCCCTCCACCTCCTCGGCACCTTTCTTTGCGGCCTCGGCATCGATCCTCTCAGCTTCGGCCTTGGCCTCCTCCACCGCAGACCTCAGCCTCTGCTCAGCGCCCTCGGTAGCCTGCCGAAGGGCCTCCTCCAGCCTGCACATATCCATGAGGGAAGCGTCCTTGTCATGGATAAGCTTCCACATAGACTCATCCTGTTGGGCCTTCTGGAGGCGCCACTCCTCGAGCCTCCGGGCCTGTTCGCCGAGAGCTATGCAAGCCCATAAACAACAAACAAACAGGTTAGATTATCATTCAAAATGTGCTAAGTGAGTGAAAAAAGAGAAAGAACAGAGGCTTACAGTAAGAGAAGACCGGAGGATCTTTCTCTCGAGGGCAGTATCGTCTTAAGTGTCGAGGGCTGCCATGTCCATCCCCGAGGTAACCCCCCTCAGGAACGCCTTCGGTTCAACCGTGCCGTGCATCACGGAGGTTCTCGGGGCAAGGGAGAATTGCATGGTCTCCCGGGGGAAGTCTTCCGAAGGGAGGTCTGTCGGAGTCGTCAACGCGGTCTCGACCGGAGGCTCGGAAGAGGCCAGGACTGCTCCTCGATAATCACCACGGGGGCCGCCTTCTTTGCGGCATCCCCTGCCTTCTTCTGCTTCTTTGCCAGAGGGATCCCCCTTCCCGGTCTTCTTCTTCTTTATGGCCACATCGGCCTGAGAACCCCCTGCCACATCAGCGGTGGCGACAGCTGCAGAAGGCTCCACCACATCCTTCTGGAAAAAGGCATCAACAGGTTGCTGGCCCGAAGGATCCTTCTTCTTGGCCTGGGCCTTCCCCTTCTTCTTCTTCAAAGTGAAGAGGGTGTCTGCGTGCATGCTAGTACCTACGAAATAACAAGAACGGGTTAGGCCGAAGGGTCAAAGGCATGAACAAATATCGAAGTACAAAAAATTTCTAAGTACAAATCAATTAGTAAAGTTAATAAAATACCTACACCTAAAGCCGACAATGCAGAGTGTTGTAAGTGTTGACCCGTTATGTCAATTGGGGATTATCGACTGGCTGTTGTGTGTCTGTTGGTTTGCTCTTGTTTTGCTCACGACCTGTTGAACAACTCAAGTCTCAAAAAGGTAAGTCTTATGCCATTTTCTCAGCTTTGACCTTTGACCTTCGCCCTTCTGCCTTCCTACTCGTCTAGCGGGGCCTTGTGCAAGTTTTTTAGATTAGAAAATATACATAATAATACTATTAGGCTTATTTCAAAAATTGGAGGCCCTTAAAATTTTGGAGGCCCTAGACATTTGTCTAGGCATCCTGCCCCTATAGCCGGCACTGCATAAAGACAATATCCTATTGGTGGCCGCCATGGCTTCTGGGTCGGCGGATGGGAGCCTAGCGCTTGTAGGCACCACTAAAAGTCGACTGATGAAAGGACTGAGCAGAAGCATAGGAGAATCACCCGGGGAGGAGGAGCATGTTGGTTGGAACATGGAAGTGGAGCTGTAGGGGATAAAAAATGGGAAGGAGGCGAGTTGCACCTCTGCAACTCACCTGACTCAATACTAACAATCTTGTTGCAGTTTCAGAATAAAGATGGAGCGGATAGTCTTCATTGTTTTCTTGCTTATTACTTTTTCAATTATTTTAATTTTGTTTGAGCACTTTATTTGTTTTGTTGTTATTGACTTTGGGGATGGTAAAGTGGTATTGATTTTTATTCTGGTTGGTAGTTGTTTTTCGGGAAGCAATGTGGTTGTGTTGGCCGATAGTAGTTTCGAATCTCTCGTATGTTCAACGAATAGCCTCGCTCAATATGGGTGGTCTATTCTATGTCTGATCAGGAAGTGAGAGGGCGTTTTGGCTTAGGGAAGGTGAGAAGATGGAGACAGTTTATGGATGTTGGTGTATTGATGTTTGGTTACAATATAATTTATGCTTTCTTCTCTAAAAAAACGAATGAAGTAAGAATGAAGTTGAACAACACAAATTTTACCAAATTTGATAAAAACAATGTTAGTGAGACGAATCAAAAAGGAAATATGATGTTATCTTAGAAGGACGTAAAATATTAGACATCCATGCTAAAATATTCTAGAAAATTTGCATACTTGTCCACAACTTCAATTAGTCGAAATTTGTGTGTGCTATTAGATATATCTCATGAGGAGGGACGCTAAATATAGAAATGTCAAATTTCATATGGAAAATTATTTTTCAAAAGAACAACATAATTTATACATGAGTGAAAATAAATGCATATAATAATTTTAGGAGTATTGGAAAAAGTTAATTTCATATGAGCAAGATTGTTGCTCATCCATATGAAGAGTTCAGCACCAGGGATGTGGCTGAATTCTATTTGAACGCCACCATTACCAAGAGCGGAGTCCACTCTAAGGTGCAGGGAAAGAGCATCTCACTCAATGCTGATGCTCTGAACGAATTCTTTGGAGTCCAACTGGACTCTCAAGACTCTGAGACTCCCACTCTCATTGACCTAGAGTCAGTGGAGGTCTCAGTTGAAGCGTTTGCCCAGACCTACTGCCGCCCTGAGGCCACCAATCTGGACAGACTGTACATGAAAAAGTTTCTGCTGAAGAAGGACTTTGAAAAGTTGGTCGTCATTCTGCACAGGAGCTTGTGGTGCAAAACTGGCTCAACTGATGAGATCAACAAGGCCAACTGCAAAGAAATCTTTGTTGTTCATCATCGGATGAACATAAACTGGGGTGAGGTAATCTTCGGTTCTTTAACTGAATTCATCAAGAAGAAGGATCAGAAAACCGGCCTCTTCTCAACAAAGATGGGCCATGGCCTCCTTCTGTCTGCCATCCTCACTGCCCATGGAGTTCAACTCAGGGACCCTTCCCCAGTTGATCACTCCAAGACCCTATTCCTGACTGCATCCCCCAAGCTAAACATAGCCATCTCTGCTGAACTGAAGAGAGAAGAAAGGCTGGAAAAGAAAAGGGAACAACAGGCCATCAAACCTAAACCTGCTACCAAGAAGATCATTAAGAAGCCCTTTGGGACTTCAGAACAGCCTAAGCAATCCCAGATTGCAAGGGATGTAAGGAAGAAGAAGAAGAATGATAGAAGCACTCTATAAGAAGTGGATGCACCAGAGATGAACGCATCAGAGTTGGCTCCCCCAAAATTTGTCAGAAACTCTCCTGCAAAGAAGCAGAAGTTGAAAAGGAGAAGAAAGCAAGTTGTTCAGAGTGAGGACTCTGACAACTCTGGTCTGAAACCTTTGAAGAAGAAGAAGAAGAAGACAACCACACCTGCAAGGAAATCAGAAACTCATGGGGAACCTGAATCTGTTGCACAACCCTCCTCTGCACCAGACTTGGTCTTCACTGCAGACTTATCAAAACCCCAACAAATCTCTGACGGAGAACCAGAGACTGATTACAACACCATTCTTCAAAAGCAGTTTGAAAGGGTTCTGACCTGGAGAAGATGGAGAATGGGGCCTCTTCAGAAGATCATACAATATTTTGACTGTTTTGAAGCAGAAGAAGCTGCTGTTTTACACTGGGTGGGCACAGAAGATGTGTCTCAATGCTTCGACCTTGCCTTTCTCATCTCTGTCCTGCAGAAGAAGAAAGAAAAACATCAAGGTAAAGCACATATGACTACCTTATCTCCTGAAAGGCATGTCAAAGCTTTGGAGGAACATGAGATTAAAGAGTTTGATGAATGGCTAATGGAGAAGAAAAGAAAAGAATTCCTCATCAAGTTTCGCCACAGTGCTCGTGAAGAAGGGGAACCCTCTACAGCCAATGATGTTCCTCTGACAATGGAAAAGCTGGTCAAGGAATGGAGAGAATCCTTGTTCTCTGAAACTGTTCTTGAGGTCATTCCTACACCCCCTCCTTCCCCTCCCAAATCTCCTTTTACTCAATCACCCCCTCCTAAATTACCTTCACCTAAATCTTCCTCACCTCCTAAATCACCTTCAAAACCTTCAACCCCACTCAAACAGAAAACCCCATCCCCTCAAAAAACCTCCTCTCTCCCACCATCCCCCATCAGAAATCCTACACCTCAAGAGACCAAATCAAAGTCTCCATCACCCTGCAAGCAACCCTCACCTCCTAGAAACCGGTCACCCTCACCACCACCCTCCCCCAAACCTCTGAAATCAATCACTCCTAAGAACTCCTCTCCTCAGAACTCTCACCATCAGAAAACCCCCTCACATCAGAGTTCACCTCCACAACAGCAACCCCTATCAACCACCAGAGCTGCTACACCCCCACTCTCTCCTCAGCTCTCTATAGCCTCAACACCCAAGAGAGAGATTCCCATTCGCATTCTATCCTCAGATGTTGACAATGATGGGTTCCTCACATCCTCTCTTGCGGCAGACTTCACATCCAAGAGGAGGAAGACTCCTCCCAGGGATCAATCTGCTGAACCCACTGGCAATACTGCTCCATTCCCCAAGGGAAGAGGTTTGGAGATGCCTGGGTTTGCTCCAGAAGCCCCTCAGATGGACTTCAACCAATTTGTACAATCTGCAGAAGAGTTTGGTGGTCAGATGCTAGACAACATGAACAAGCTCATCGTTATCAATGACAAACACTATGAGCATCTGACGCACACCAACATCAATCTTAATCAAGGCCTTCAGCAACTGTCAGAAAAGCTTGACACTTTGACAGAGTCCCTGCACACCTTCATGAGCTCATCCAACAAGAAGATTGATACAATCTCCAGAGAAGTAGATGGAATTAACTCTGTCCTCTACTTTCACTCCCAATCTATGAATAATCAGAATCAGAAACTACAGGAGATCACTGAAGCCATTGACATTCTGCAATGGAATGCTGATCAAGCCTCAGAGCGCTTCATGGAGATAGGAAATATGTGTACAGAACACAAAGCGTAGGCTTTAGATATTCTTCTCAAGGACAAGGAGCGTTACCAGAAGTTGGTACTCCTTGAAGCAAGTACACAGAGTATCCAGTCTACCATGGAAAGACAACAGAACCTGATTGAATGTCTGGCCTCTGTTACCCAGACTTTGCCAGAAGCTCTAGATGAGATCAGAGATGCCCAAGCATCAGAATTCTCAAAGATTGAACTCCTCCTTGGCGATCTTGTTGATGCCAAAAAGGGGGAAGACACCAGAGAAGAAGAAGGTCCAAGCTCCAGAACCTTATCTATCAGAGGACCCTCATCATCTATTGATCCTGCTCCTTACTTCGAAGCTGCCAAAAAGAAAAAGCAAGCTAATGTAGGCACCCGACCTCCTCCTCCACCTCCCAGAAGTTCTAAGAAGAAGTCCTCCAACTTTACCTTCAATGAATGGATGAAGAGTGGGATGTCTAAGCCTGACAGAGCCCAATTTACACAGATGAAGAAGCTGATGACTCCACTGCAACAAGAGAATTTGTTTATGGACAGTGATGGACTCATCCAAATCAATCATGGTGGATCAACTCAAGAAGCTGAGATCTGGTGGCAGATGAGAGTTCTATCTGGCAAGAACATATCAGAAGCAATCAGAAATTACTTAGAAATTACTCAGACCTTCCTTAGTGAGAAGACGATCGGCCGCTGGCCAGGTAGCTTAGTGTGTTGTATTCAGACCCTTATTATCACTTAATAAGATACGGCTCACTGTTGCAGATACATTTTAGTCCATCTTATTCGCTCGTGTTCCATACTCACTC